AAAAAGGTCATCAGGTTTTCGATCGTACGCCACGATTTTGGATCGTACAGGACCTCAAATTATCGTACGCGTACGATAATTATCGTACGAATGGGATCGCTGCCGGTATGATCGACACAGGGGCGTAAAATTATCTTACACACGGGAAAAATTTTGAATTTGTACAAATTGTCGGATTGGATTTTCAGGATTTTTTTTTCTTTTAGTCTTCAAGTTCAAAAACCCTATCGTAAAATCGGAACATCGAAAATCGAAAATCACTAGTTGAACCCTAACTTACCCGTTTGCAAAATTTGATGACTAAAAAAAAAGGGTCATCAAGTTTTCGAAATTCCAAATTGGACAGTGATAATTACCGGAAAATCGAAAATTATCGCACAGGCTGAATTTTGGATCGTACAAAGCTTCAAATTATCGTATGCGTACGATTACGTTAATCACGAAACCTATGTGGTTTTCCAATGAACCATTTTCCTGAGAGTAGTTCAGCGAACGTGTTACGAGAGGCAGCACTCGTAGTAGGGACAAACAAAAAAAATTTCCATTTAAGACAGTGTTATTTACGCTATATTATTTTATTATTTAAAAATAATAATTAAACACAAAAAAATTTTTTTAATAACCACTATGCCAACGAAACATTGTAGTTTTGCGAGGTGTACGTCGGATAATCGCTATCCAGAGGAAAATATGTTTTTTATACCATTTGTAAAATCTCATATTGACGAGGTGTTAGATACAATAAATGGATACATGCATCAAGGAGAGTGGATTTAACAGTAGAAAAAATTAATAAATATTCATATGTGTGCTCAAAACATTTTATCGGTGGAAAAGGTCCAACTGTAGAAAATCCTGATCCTGTTTCTGCAACGATTAGCAAAGTAAGTAATAATAAAATTTATCTGAAAACGAATATTTGCAATTGGAGTAAAAATAAATTTGTTCATGAAATTTTATTGATTTCTTAAGCTCGAAAATTAATTAATGTCTGTCAGAGTTAAAGTCATAAATAATTGGCAATTTTATTACTGGAATAATAAATAAATTAAAAAGAATTTTCTTATCTGTTTGAAAAACGTTTTATAGTAACAAATTTATAATTTTTACAGGTACCAAAGGCACGAAAAAAACGACTTTCAACATCAACAATTGATTTTCTGTGCAGTCGAGACCAAAAATCAAAAAGAGGCAAAGATGCTAACTCAGATTTTTTCATTCCAAGTCAACAAAATGATACTCAAGATATTTCAGTAGACGACTATTTAACTCCTAAATTTACTGAACCACCACCAAGTGACAAAGAGCACACCAATCAATATGTAGCTCATGCAGAAAGTCAAACTTGTATAGAAGTTGCAAGTATTTTTGTGAAAAAACTACAAAATGAAATTGAAACACTTACGAAAAAATTAAGTGCATCTACCCTTAAGGGTTCATTCTGGTTTATACGCCGGAAAAAAAAGGCTATTTTCACGATTTTTTTTTAGGCTTTATAGGATACATATACATATGAAAGTTGTTGGGTATGATAAATACACTCCAGAAGTAAAAGAAAAAAATTTTTTTTTATTGTTTTTAATGTTTTTTGACATCCAAAATGGCTGACAAACGTGAACCCGTCAAAAGTAGGTATGCTGTTGGCGGGCATCGAAATTTGAGAACAGGTGATCTAAAACAAAAAAATTAAATGGTTTTAAATTCAGTATGACAATGGCTATCGAGTATGCTAAAACTATCAATTTTTATGAAAACAAAACAAAATGACGGCCGTTTTTCGAAAAATAAAAAAATCAACGATTTTTTTCGCAGTTTTTTTGTAAAAAAAAAATAGTGAAAATTAATATTTTGACTTGGTTGTAGCATGTGAGATAGCCATTCATGTTTAGAGTATGTAGTTAAAATTTCAGAAGGATCGGTTGAGTAGTTTCGGAGATATCATGCCCGCCAATCGAAAAAACGTTTCGAAAAAAACGCGTTTAAAGTTTCTTTTAACAAATTTTTAAAAAGTCTGACTTTACTTTATTCTGCGATGCCTGCACCATATAGTATGCCTTCTGCTTCTTCAAAATACTCATTTTCTTCCACTCTAGCCTTTTTTCGTTGTGTCCTGGCCTCTATCAAAGCTTCTCCGCTCAAACAATTGGCTGAGCGCACGCGCGTGTTGCCGCGGTTACTAGCGTAATTGACTGCGATAGRGCCAAGTTTTATCTCCAAAACGTGCATTATTTTCAGTATTGGATCAAAACCTTCGTTGAATATACAAGCTGCCAATTTAAAAGTTATTTCAACAATTTTTTTACCATTAAATAGGTGTTTAGGCACCATAGCCCAAACGCATTTGTTGAAGCACTCATTATTATTTTAAATTTGTGGCCACCTAAACATCTTTCAAGTAATTCTGTTTTTGTCAGGTCAATATCAACCATTTGTTTTTTGCTGCTATATTCATGCAGAGACATTTCCACTTACAYCATCGCAGATGGTTTGTCTCCTCTATCTGTAATATCTCTATGTGTTTGGGTCGCAAAATAATGTACTTAGACTGCTCGGATCGTTCTAAAATTTTTGTATGATAATTCTACATATGTCTACTTTCGAAAAATGCAAAAAAAAAAAAAAAAATTAATTTTTTCAAAATGATAAACCAGAATGAACCCTTAACTATGAATCATGTATAAATGACAGTAAGAAGTTTAAGTTTTATACAGGTATTATGCCAGAAGATTTCGATATTGTGTGGAATTTCTTAGGACCGCCAACTGAATCATCACTGAGGATCTGGCACTCACAATCAGGAACTAATAAATGCATAACGATAAAGCAATTTAAAGTATTATCGTTAAAAAATCAACTTTTTTTAACCCTTGTGATTTTAAGATGTGGTTTTTTATTGTACGATTTGAGTTGTCGGTTTGGTGTGAGTATGAGTTATATTTCAAAAAAAACAACATGGATCCAATAAATGTTTTGTAAATTTAAACAACTATATCGTTTCCCATCAGCTAAAGATATCAGTAAAAACCTACCTCAAGTGTTTAAAAAATTTAAAAATATACGAGTAATTATTGATTGTTTTGAATGGAACATGCAGAAACCGAAAAATTTTAGTCAACAAGGAAATACATACTCCAGCTACAATCTCATAATACAGAATGACTGAATTGAAATTAGACTGACTGAAATTCATTTATTATATTATTTATTTATTACCATTTATATTTCATTCATATTTCACTCTGAAATAATTCTTCGGTCAAAAAAATGTTTTTTATAAGTCCACTTTACCATGTGTTTAAATAGAACTCTGACAGTGTTTGTCCCTACCGAATTACTAGCGCTGCTAATGAGTAATTTTTCGTACTTCAGGAAAATGGTTCATTATAAAACATAATGCTAGGGATCCTATAGGAGGGATGCGCCATGTACATTGCTGGGGGACCGGAACTCGATTTTGCGCGCGAATGATTCAAACATTGAAATA